AGCACCTCGGCTGCGGTGGTGGGTGAGAAGCGTCCTCGTGTTGAAGGTGATACAACAAAGAGCGAAGACGGGCCAGTGACGAAAGTGGTGGCTGCGGAGTCTCAATCCGTTTCTGCTGTAAATGGAAATGGTACACGACGTGATGTGGCGAAGAGCTTAGGTGGAGAGAGAGCTGCAAACACGGCTGATGCCGGCGATGACCTCGACCTAGAGCAGGCACTGGGGCTCGGCTTTTGAGTCTTTGAATAAAGCCCACGGTGTTACACGTTTCCTCTGTTTTTTTTTCTGTTTCGGGATGCACTGCCACTCTTCGCTGCTTCTGCATTGCCGTTCGGCAATACACTGGTGCTGTCTCGTCGCGTGTTTTCATGTCTTTCTCTGCTCTTCGCGTCTTCGCCCCTCCCTCCTTCCCTCCCTCAATCCCAACGAAGATAAATAGAGTAGGAAATACATATTTTTGAAGGTTCCTTTTGCCTTCTCAGGCATCGCTGTTTCAGAGAAAAAAGAAAAAGAAAGGAAGAAAGGGTCTCTCCTTTAGCTTCTCTGTGTGTGTGTGTGTGTGCACACATCTTCGAAATGCTACAGATCAGCAGGTTGCCGTCTCGATGCCTCGTGTCGGGCCTTCACGAACAAATTCTGCAGTCGTCTGTGTGGTCGGCTGCGTGGTTGCGCAACGCGGAGGTTGAGGCGGCGCGTTCGCAGAACATTACCCTCTACCAGCTCATGCAACGCGCCGGAGAGGCGGCATTTAACGTCTTTCGTCGAGAGTATCCTGCTTCGAAGCACTGGCTGATTCTCTGCGGCAGCGGTAACAATGGTGGTGATGGCTTTGAGATTGCGCGCCTTGCCCTAAACGCCAACATACGCGTGACGGTTGTGGCGGTGAAGGCATCAAAGTCGCTTCCGCCAGAGGCGACTGCTGCACAAGCGGCATTGCTGAAGCGCGGTGGTGCCACTGTTCATGAAGCACAGGCCTGGATGGGGAATGCCGTGGCTAACGATGTGGATTTGGTGGTGGACGGGCTGCTGGGCACTGGGATTGGTGGCGCACCGCGTGATGATTACGCGCGATTGATTGAGCACATCAACTCTCTCCATGCTCCTCGCGTGGCCATCGATATTCCGTCCGGACTAAACGCCGAAACAGGAGCCGTGGATGGGGCGTGTGTGCGCGCTGAGCACACCGTCTCATTCATTGCGTTGAAACCGGGCCTTTTCACCGGTCGCGCGCGAGACTTTGTGGGGAGGCTGCATTACAACTGCCTTCAGCTCGGGGAGTGGATGCTGGCGGCGGAGCGTCAGCAGGAGAAGCTTTGCTGCCGCCTCACGAGCTCGCACCTTCAGCTGCTTCTTTCCCAACCCCGATCGCCGTGCTCACACAAGGGCGTTAACGGTAAGGTGGTTCTTGTTGGGGGTGATGTGGGCTTTGGCGGGGCGATTGTGATGGCCGCTGAGGCGTCACTGCGCACCGGCGCTGGCCTCGTGCGCGCTGTGACACGTGCGGAGCACGCGCTGCCGCTGATGTGTCGCTGCCCGGAGGTGATGACGGAAGCCATGACGGAGTCAAATCTACAGGAGGCGCTGGAGTGGGCCACATGTGTCGCGGTAGGGCCGGGACTGGGGCAGCGTGAGTGGGGCAAGCAAGCTCTTGCGCAGGTGCTCGCATACTGTCAGCAGCACCCCGAAAAACCGTCCGTGTGGGACGCGGACGCCCTGAACATCATTTCAGCGCATCAGCAGGGACCACCTGTGCGTCTCAATAGTCGCATCATAACGCCCCATCCAGGAGAGGCGGCGCGGATGCTGCACTGCAGCGTCAAAGATGTGGAGCGGGATCGCATTCGTGCAGCAAAAGAACTGGCCGCCAGGTACGGTGGGATAGCGCTGCTGAAAGGCCCTGGTACTGTGCTGCATGCGGCAGAGGATGTGGATATTCATGGTGTTTCGGAAAGAGCAACATCAGGGGACGTGTGCTCGCTGCGATGCGCGATTGCGGATGTGGGCAACAGTGGCATGGCGACAGGTGGGATGGGTGATGTGTTGACAGGTGTCATTGCGGGACTCCTTGCACAGCAGCTGCCTTTGTGGCACGCAGCATGTACAGGGTGTGTAGTGCATGGCACCGCAGCCGATCTTGCCGCCACCACACAGGGTGGGGTGCGAGGACTGACAGCAACTGCGCTCTTTCAACACATACCCACTTGTGTGAACCCATGTGAGGGATGGAAGAGCGCGTGTCTGTGAGACATGCAGAATGAGTTCAAGCGTCAGTTCAAGAGAAGTGATTTGAAGCAACATAAAAGGGAAGGAAATTGTTAAAGTTGAAAGGAGTCTGTAGTGGGGGGGG